AAATGTCATAAGAAGCCAAATTACTACAATTTTATATACCTATAGAGAGTTACACCTGCCACCTGGCTTCAGCCAGAGCTCCTTTTACTACCTGCAAATGTTGGAGGAGAAGATACAGTTTAACACCAGTCTTATGTGCTGTATTGGAGTCAATTAAAAGACTACCAAGCTTGCATTGCTAAAAGGTATTTGGACACTCAATCATGCTTGCAAATATCTACCACTCCAAAATGGCAAGTACAGTTGTTTTACTCTGTAGACTACGAGTGTAGTAAGAAATAAGTGGTTGAAAATTTGAAAATTTGAAAGCCTGATATTCCCATTAATGTCGATATCCATCCCTTTATTTGAAACCCCCTGCAGTACTTCCTACTGAAAGCTACAATGTTCTCTTACGCTGGGCACTCTTTTACCTTTCATCTGCTTCTATAAAATGGTCAGTTCTGCTCAGCTAAACACCAGCATAACCACTAACTTTAGTCTGGGCATCCATGTGGTTACATTATGATTTGGTTCTGCTCTTTTCAAATAATACATGCCAAAAATTAACTGTGTCCTGTAGCTTCATGTTCTAAACCATTAATACACATTTTTAAACAAAACTTTCTCAACAGACACCAATATGCTCCATAAAACAACAGAAAAACCAACTCAAAGGGAAGGCACATGATTTTCGCAGTGATAAAAGCAATTAATCTCACTGTTCCTGTTAAGAACATGGTTTGTCTTTCACAAGAGATCAACTCAACTTCATGAGTCAGAAGGAAGCTAGCACAGGGCTGTGCCATCAAGCTAGAGCCCTCAGACCTTCCTGACTTGGAAACAAGAGAGTGGGAAGCAGCTTGTGGGAGAAACAGAAATATCCTTTCTTTCCCAGTCACTGACTTAAACAAATCTTTCTAAAGAATGCAATAATCGCAATGGAAACTGCTAAAAGTTTAAGTTCTGATGTACGGAGAAGTGAAAAGCAGTATCTTTCTTAAACATAAGCACCGGTATGCAGTGAAAGGACAGGAGGCAACGGGCACAAGTTGAGATACACAAAATTCCATTTAAACCCAGGAAAACCCATTTTTACCATGACTGTAAGACACTGGAATGACTGCATAGAGAAGTTGCGGATTTTTCTTCTTTGGAAAAATTCAAAACCTGACCAGACATGGCCCTGAGCAGCGTGCTGTAGGTGATCCTGCTCTGAGTAAGGGGTTGGACTAGATGATCTCCCGAGATGCCTTTCAGCATCCATAACTCTGTTACTCCAGTGCAGTGATTTGACATGCATGTTCACGATGCTAAATCACTGTATTAAATGTGTATTGTTTGCATAAAACAAGGTTTTAACACTCGGGGTAAAGAATTACTTTCTTTCCTATGGCACAAATGTGTGCAGAGAGGGTATAATCTGTAGCCAGTCTCAGGCTGTCAATAAACCAGAAGGGCAATAATTTTCTTCTGAGAAGAAAACGGAGGGACTGTTCTTGAAATAACAACTCAAGCTTCAGGAAAACAAAAACTTAAAATTTTCAGAGAAACTCAACCTTCCAAACAAATACTCTGCTAAACAGGGAAACACAGCACACAAGTGAAAAGGTTGGACCTCTGAGCAACAGCTACAACCAGGTCACGTTGTCCTATGCGCTCAGTAACACGGCCTGTATGTCAGTTGTATTTCTGTTCAAATTTCAAAGGCTTTTGTTTGAAGAAATTACAATGTTTTTGAAAGGCCATTAAGGTGCTGTGATAAGTCTGGACATGCTGGATTCACACAAGCATCTCTATGTCAGTACATGCTATATTCTGCCATTAAAGGTACAGGATATTCCTCTATGAAAGCCAAACTTTTTTACTTTATGGCACATCCTGAAATAGTCCACTGATGATGACATAGTTGCCAACTACTGATGATCAGTGAAAGAGCAGTTAATGTGACTTAAACATTTTCTTGGTGTCTAATAACACAGAACGGACTACAGAAAAGATTTCATCCAGTCTGACTGAAATTATGGTCTTAACACAGCAGCACTTACAATATCCTGATAAAGTTAAATTTCTGCTCTAGGCAGTGCACTGCAACTAAGCCAGCTAGACTGTAAATTAGATACCATTTAATCTTCCCACTTTTTCTGGTGTTCAGTCAGCAGCGACCTCTGTCTGCCACTCACATTCCCAGCCACTCACAGAGATTTTGTTTGCTACAAACAAAGGAAGGAATAAATAGTGGCAGAATTGTCATTACCGCTATTGTCCCACAGCAAAATGTCCTGCTGTCACTTTTAATGTCTGCAGAAAAGGGCAAATCCAGAAGATGAACCCAATTTCAGAGCAACACTGGCCTCAGGTGGACTAGAGACCATACCAGAAGGGAACCATCTATGAATAACAGCCATTGGCACAACCCAGAGCTTTGGTTCCTAAGTGCCAGAAATGATAGCCCTCAGGTATTTCACAATTCTTGTTATATATTAATTTATGACCTTCCATTTTACAGCCTGACTTTCGCTATCTAGACAATTAAAGAAGCGAAGCTGGCTCTGCACTCCATGGAGTTAGTGTTTTATTACCTCGATACCAGAAAGAAAGAAAAGCAAAAATTCAAAAATGAAATGTCATCTATTTCTCAGGGAACAAATCACTGTCGTAGGAGTTCAGCTCAGCCGCCCGCACCGAAGTGTGCAGTGCCCTGCCCATCGGGCCTCCAGCTCCTCCGGGAGGAGGATCACAGCATGGATCATGTGAAAGCCTCGCGTCTCATCTTCCATCCAGGTGGGGATGTCTTGGAGTTCAAGGACATCTCAAAGGCACCAGGCACTTATGTTTAGGCAAGTGAATAGAGTTCAGAGTCTGTGCTTCTCCCTGGACTAGCTGATAAGTGCTTTTATGGGATACTCAACTAGTCTGCACAACAAAAACAAGGAAAAGGACTTGCTCCATCCTTCCCCCTGACAGTTCTGTTCAAAATGCCCCTCTTCTCACCTTTCAGAAATTCAAACTCACCCCATCATCTCTGCTTGAATGGGAGCATCTGCCTGCATTTTCATGCACAGAAAGAGAGGACACCTTTATTTTGAAACAAGTGGAATGTGAAAGAAAAAGGAATAGAGCGAGATAATTTTAAAGCAAAAATACAACACTCACGTTGCTAACACCATGAAGTTGCTAACAAACAAAATATACTCAATTTCTGCAGCTTTTTAAACGTGTATGCAGGACTACAAGTAGAGACATGAACTAGAACCAACACCACAGATCTTACTTTGTCCATATAATGAACATACTTTTAGCAACGACTACGATCCACTTCGAAGAGTCACACGGTGCAAGTACTGTGAGGATAACAAAAAGGCCAAGTGCCCTCACACATGGCTGTCACGGCCCACTTCCACAGAAATCAGTAGCATGGACCCAGAACGATCCACGACCCAGAAATTAGCAGATACTCCCTCTCCTAAAGGACAGACACCTTTTTACAAGAGTAGCCCCAGTTAGATTGAAATTCAAGGGAAATGGCTGAAGTTTTATGGTTTGTCTTATGCAGAATAAGACTAAGTAACCTGATAGCCATTTCTGGTTTGGTTGATTGGTTGGTTGTTGGTTTTGTTTTGGTTTTTGGTTGGTGTTTTTTTAATTTATCAATAACTTAAATGATCTACCTTTACGCAAAAATTACAAAAGCAATCACAAAGGATTGTCACATAGAGAAGGGAGACATGAAGGGGGAATAACATCAACTTTTCACCTGCACGAAGACATAACACAAAGGAAAAATATTGAAATCATAAATTTCTTAACGCATTCAAAAGAATGTCAAGATTCTGTTGACACTTTATGGAAGCGCTCTCCTTTATCCTACAAGTAACTGTGGGATAACTTTTTAATTAACCCTGTTTTCCAAGAAGTCCAAGATTTACAACAGAAACCAAAAGAAGTATTAGGAGAGCCCACTGAGCCATTTGATCTCCCCTAGCTCATACAAGTTAATCAGCATCCGACACAAATGCAAAGGTTATAGTGTGTTCTCGTTTAAATAAACTAAATTAGCCAAACACAGACATGGCTGAAAACACTTCTCACTATGTGTGGTAACAAAATTTCTTATCCTGTTTTCAAAGCACTCATGGAACTGAGGAGCAGATTCTGATAATCTTCTTTTTGTTGGAAAGTGAGAAAGTTCACAAGACTTCTGTTGAAACAACAGATATTACACTCATGGTGTATGGTCCTATTCAAGGGGAAAAGAACTTGAAAATTTATCTCTTCTGTAGTTAAAAAGAAGGAACTGCCAAGTCTGTGTTATGGCCTAATAAATATTGAGAATGGTTGAATACAAGAGCTTTTATGGGGAAAGTATAGTGTTTATTTTAAGAACACAGGTGTTTATGGTTTAGAAATTTAAGTAATACTTTACAAGGTTAGAGAAAGTATGAAAAGTCCCCTCAGTAATTTATATGTAACTTGAAATTAATGAAAAATACATGTTAAAATTGTCACAGAAATATATTAATCTAAATATTGAAAGAAATAAAAGAAAGATCTCTTTCAGAGATGAACATGTGTGGAAATTCTGTTGCCATTATTTAAACTATATATTTAGTTTTGTTCATAGCATTAATAACTATCACTTTTGAGCTATTAGCTACTAGATAGTGAAATGCAGGGATACCTGAACTATCTTAACTAAAGCAGCTCAAGTAGCAGCAGTCTAGTTGTGACAGCAGGGAGATTTCACAGAATCAATGAACTGCAGCAACAATCAGAATACATTCACCATGCTCATGCCTCCACTTGAAGTGAAGAAATCTCAGGCACCTCCATGCAACACAAATCTTCTCTTTCTGTGCCTTAAGACGTAAGAGGTAAGTGAACGGATTGGCCCCCTGCAGCACACAGGCAGCAGATTTGGGAACACAGCAGTGGATAACTGTACTTCACTGATTTGGAGGACACATACATTGACTGGGGATTTAAAACCAGTGTATACATAGGAGCACCCAGGCTCTTACCTTTACAAATATGAAAATCTCACAATCTTCCTGAAAGTTGTCAGTTTCTCCAAAGTTATTGTTAAGGGGGAACTTGAGGGAAGTTGAAGAGTTGGAAGAAGTGCTCTGGCTCCGACGCAACTGGGAATTTGAAGGCAAATGCATGTTGCTCTCAAACACCATGCCTTCTACATGTTTATCTTCCAGAGTTGGGCTCATCAGATCCATCTCCTGGTATGGGTGGTCTTCTTCAGCACCACGGTGAGATGAAGAAGAACCATCCTCCCCATCAGCCCCATGCTGAGAGGCCACAGAATTACTACAGCTATCTTCTGAGCTCTCCTGGTTACTATCTATGCTCTCTGGGATAGCAGTGATGGAAGAAGATGATGTTGGATCTTCATGGACATGATCATAAGGATTATCCCCTTTGTCTTCCTCAGAGTCTGGAATCTCATAGCTATTGGTGCTGGTAACATTTTCATAAACATTGGTAAAGACCTGGTCTTCCATGACTGCTGGCTAGTGAGTTTTGCCTGCCTTCTGGTACCTCAAAAGACTACAATTAAAGTGAGATGTTGACAGACAAACGCTCTTTAGGAGGAAGCAGAGTCTGTGGTATGCTTTCTGAATGCTCTGCTACGAATGGCAGATCTCCAACAATCATTTACTGAGAGCTTTAAATCAACAACTACACTTCCACTGAAGTAAAAGTCAGGGCTGTCTCACTTTTAACCCCTTTGTCGATCTGATTGCTGGTATCTATATCTTAGGAGCTGTAATCACCTGTTGTTCTTCCAGACACAGCCTGACCAAGTAGAGTGAAAAAGAGCTGAAGCACCTATGAGTACTAAAAAGCTATGGTAAAAAATATGTACTCTTTCACATGAAGTCAAAGACAGGCTTACTGGAAATCTTATGTACATTTTGTGTAAAGAGTTAGAAATGCAGACTTCACCCATTTACTCATATTTTCAACACACAAAAGCCTAGCTCCAAGGAAAAGCAAGGCAAAACCACCTCAACAATACAAGAAATCATCTGCAATGTTTCAGTGGTTACTTACAACATCATCAACAAATTATGATAATTTATAAAAAAACTACAAATAAAAAAAATTAGAAGGTGGTATACCCACGAGAAAAAAGCATCAAACTTGAACTCTTTCCAGTTTTGCCACAGGTTCGCTTTAGGACCTTAAACCACTCACTTCACACTTAGTAACTTCATCCTCTCGTCTATAAACTAGGTCCAACACTGTAAGAAGTCTTGTGAGCTGCCCTGGAATCTAGCAAAATAAAGCACTGAATAAGCATTAACTATTATTATGTATATTAATATGTCAATTACTTATAATCACACTTAGTTATATATCTCCATGTCACAAGACATAGATCCAAGATGCCAAAGTTGGGTTAACGCCACTTGACATGACCAGTCTAGTTAGTCACCTTGTCCATACATTTCCTTTTCTCTAGAGAATGCAGAGACACACAAAACTCCACAGAAGCTAAAGCGGACGAACACTTCCAGCTTTAGCAGAAAATGAACAGCCCTCTTAAAGACAGATACACACTCCAGAGCATCCGAAACCAACGGAGCTGAAACTGATTAAAGATACAAATCTGAATTTATCTGAGTTATGAGAACTTCAGACCTTATTGATTAAAGACTTCTTGTCTATATGTTTACTGCATCTGGATTATGCAGATTACTAGGAGAATTCTTAGAATCGAATTATATTTAACATTTTCGGTTTGAACCAAAGCCCATCCTTGTAACTTCCTGAGAGGTAACTGCCACAGCCACGTTGGATTTCTGAAAGAAATGTAGAAGAGATGTTGGAAATGTTGTGATTCCAGACATCTCCAGACAGAATGACCAGGGGAACACATCCTGTTTCACATGGTAGAGTAACAGGCGCTGCCTGCCTGAGATTTATGATTGTAGTTTACTGTCATTATTCTTATCTTGAACATTTTAGACTACTATTAGAGTTAAATATCAAAAGCAAACCAATACTTCAGCTTATTAATCTTGGATTCACCTTCTAAGGCCCCCAGATAACGCTGGAAGTGCCAAAATCATAGTCACAACCAAGTTTAATCACTGTAAGAGTGAGGAAAAACACTACAGCAGAATTTCTGTTCCCTACATGGAACCAGTACAAAGACACAGGTAAGTATCAGAGATCAATGAGATCTCTGAGCTCGTGAGTGTATTTCTGGCCTGATGCAACTCAAGGACTTCAAGGATATGTAACCTGTATCAAGGCCTAATTTCAACTATTACTACCCCCAAATTCCTGCCTGGTGCAAGTGATCCATCAGCAAACAGCACTTCTCCTTTTCACATTTTCTGTATTAATTCAGCCACAATTCTTCAGATGGAAATGCTAAATATGAGATTCTGAAATGTGTGCTGTATTGAAAACTTCTGGCATTCAAGACCAGCTATTAGGCTAACAATAAGACTGATTTAAAGTCATGAGCTTAAATTACTAAAGCTCAAGAAACTTGGGAAAACGAAGCCAACTAGAAACTTTTATAACTTTATTTTTTTAATTAATATTTCCTTTAAAAAAAAACACTTGCACTCCTCCACATTTTGTAGAAATCCAACTGTATTTCTACCTGTGTCTGTTCAACTTGTTCTGAGCACAGCCTTGATAAGCAACTCCCACTGATCTTCAACCCCTTCTTACAAAGAACGCTTGCAGGATTAAATACGCTGGGATCGTAAAAATTCCCTCCTTAGTCACCTTGCTGGCAAATAACTTGAGGAAGAAAAGAGAACACAGACATATTACTGACACAAAACAAAGAGCAAAGTCCAGTTGCAGAGTATTAAATCAAATGACTGACTATATTTTTCCTCCACGAACATTAGCAGGATGCAGCAGCACCTGCTGGAGGATGTAAAGTATCACAGGTAAGATGAGGAATAAGAGCATAATGTATGAGTATTATTTAAAAATAAATAAACACAGTTAATGTGGATTTCATTAGTCAGAAATGTGAGTTACCCAAGTTCTCCTTTCCTCTGATGCCCTCTAAAGCAAAGTACCATTCAGCTCCATGATCGAGACTTCACTCTTGTGACAGTGATAAAGCCACAGAGCAAGCTTGACCGCACTTGAGAATTTATCCAGTGGAAAATCAGGTGCACTTCAAATCATGTTATATGAACACACCGCTGGGTTACAACCCTTATATTTAATGTTCAGGGAAGACAGAAATAATTATTGCACCACCATTCAAAAGTCACAGGATAACAAATGAGATCAAAACTGAGGTGCCCACATTGTGACACGAGCACCCTGGCTGGCTCCGTGTCCTGGGATGCTTTCTCCTGGTTCCCCAGCCAAAAATGCTCCACTCCAGCAAGGAATGGGGCAGAGCAACTGCGTGCACATGCATCCAGTGAAACAGGTCTACCCCCATGCAGAGAAGTGACAGGAAAGAGGTTGTATGAGGCAGCAGAGCAGAAAAAAGTCTTGGCCCCACTTTGCAGAACCACAGAAAAGTAGGGGTGGGAAGGAACCTCTGGAGATCACCTAGTCCAACCCCTGACAGCAGGTCGCACAGGACTACGTCCATATGAGTGTGGAGTATCTCCAGGGAAGGAGACTCCACAACC